CATAGCTGTGACAAAATACCTGAGAAAATCAACTTAAATGAAAACAGGTTCATTTTGACTCATTATTTCATAGGTTTCAGTCCCATGGTTGCTTGGTCCTATTGTTTTGGGCCTCTAGTAAAGCTGCACATCCTGGCTGTAGCACATGATAGAACAAAGCTGCTTACCTCATGGTAGCTGAGGAACAAAGAGATAGGAAGGGCCCAGATTCCCAATATCCCATTTAAGGGAACACCTCCACCAACCTAACCTCCTTCCATGAGGTCCCATCTCTTAAAGTTTGCCCCACCTCCTGAAAACATCACACGCCAGGAACTGAACCTTTATGGAAGACATTCCAGATCCAAACTATAAGTGAAGTGGAGCACAGGAGCTTCATAGGCAGAGGGGCAGTACTCACAAAAGAGTTCAGCACACTCAGGACACTAATCTGATTAACACGGGGTCGGGGTGATTTCTACCTCCACCACTTGCTCACTGCATAATTTTTCATCTCTGAGCCAAGATTTCCTCATTTGGAAAATGGGAATTATGACTGATGTGAATTCTCTGGAACCCCAATCCTGGACAGAATATCTTCATGCCACATTCTTCATGCCACGTTCTTCATAGTATCTTCACACCATGATTGAAACCCTTACTACTGAATAATTCTTTTGCACTACTAATAGAATTTTCATTTCCAGGTGTGAGCTTTTGCAGTTCTCACAAAGATTTTGTAAGGTAGGTTTCTGTAAGTCCCATAGCACAGAGAGGAGAACTAAAACTTGTTTGAAATCAAGAAATGCTTCAAGTCTCCCAGTTAGTAAGTAGCAAACTTGAAATGAAACACTGGCCTCTCTGGTTCCAACAGTGATTTTGTTGTTGTTTCTCAACACGTAGATGTATTTCCTTCACCGTGACCTATGTCATCAAGCCATTTCATCAATGAAGTCACTAGCCTAGTCAGACATTGGTGATAGGGTATGCGGATCAGAACAGTTGTGATGGATGGTGATGAAAATTCAATAGTATAGTTACTGGAGAAAGGAAGTTTTTGGAATCCAGAACTAAACTGAAAATTTTCATGGTTTCGTGAAGGATTTTGTGGACAATACCACCATACTGTGAGATCATAAAATGAAGCAGGATGGGGAAAATAGCAGCAAAATAATAAATATCATGTGTGTGTGTGTGTGTGCTTGCACACACATCCTTTTTGACATAAGCTTTCTTAGTACATCATTGTTGTACTGCAATCTGTTGTAAGTTTAAATAAATATACTGTTATGCACCATTTCATAGAGAATGAAAGTGAGGCTGATGGTTCTGATGCAGAGAGTTGCCCCATCCAGGCCCCAGGTCAGCAGAGGGGCTTCTCTCCGAAGGAAGCATTCTTCTTGCCTTTGTTCAGTGCTGTTTCCAGAGAACAACACGCAAGTGTGGCCCATGTTCTTTCACTACAACATCCATCAGGCACTGCCTGTCCTGTCCCAGACTCTGCTAAGTACTCAGCGCTGGTGGTTCTCAGGAGGTTCCTAAGACAGTAGAGGTATCAGTGAGTGAGGGTAAAACACAATTTATTGAGGGGTACTCTAACACAAAACAGTGATCCAAATTATGGGGGCCTTCCTTGTGCTATGAGAATGCAGAATTGAAAGACTGTATCTGCCTGTGACAGATGCAGTGAGATAAATGCTTCCATGAGTAAATGTGGAATTTGAGTTAATGTTTAAATGGCACTCAATGTGTTGCGTCCCTAAGCCTACAGGAAACAAACACACTGGAAACTGAGATATTTATGCTCCTTCCCCTATGACCACTTTACCTCCCATAGTCCTGTGATGTACCTCATGTCCTCATCCTATCATCCTCTTCCCAGAGACACTGGATCCATCTTTTCCCACATGTAACATTCAAGTCCAGTATATTTCTTGCTTTCTCTAAGAAAAACTCTCCGAACCTTCTCTGCTTTGAACTGGGTCAGTCTTCTCTGAGTGTGCATGACTCCGCACATTCACCTTTACAAGCTCTGATGGGCGCTGTGCGGTTGTTCTTCTCTCTGATGGGCAGTAAAGCTCCTACGAACTCAATTGCTACCAGAGTCTTGTGCAGTGGCAGACTAGAAGCAGAAGAGAACAGGAGTGTACAAAACACACATGTGCAGCATTACAACTAGCGTGAGAAGCTGAAATGTGGTAGAATAAGAAACTTGAGGCCAAACTTGCATCCCCTGGGCAGTAAGCCATTGAATCAAAAATAAAAGTAGCATTTGGGGTGAAAAGGTGGAGTTGTCAGCTGTTAGAATTGAGTACTTAGGAACTCAGGCCCTCTGTTTAATCCATTATGATCCATACTCCTACGACCTATTAATGGATTTAGAACATATATTGTGTCTGGCCCAATGTCCTTGCTTTCTATGTGTTGTCACTATATATGTATCAGACAATTAATTATTGAGGCATCCTTTTCTAATGGATATAAGTATCCCCATTTTATAGGTAAAAAAGACATCGATCTTAAAGAGGTGAAGTTATCTAAGGTGAACAAGCTAAAATTCTATGGCCATTATAGACCAAAATCTGTGCTCTTTCCCATGCCAGGATACTCATTATTCTGAGATGGAGGGCAGTTTGCTTCCTGTAGACCTCATTTTACTTGGGTAAAACTCCAGTTTAGAAGACAGGCACAGATGCACAGATGGGGTGGGGTGGGAAGGTTTTCAGAGGGGTAGGTGTTTGTAAAAATCTTTCTGCATTTGGGCAGTTCCTTTTTACAATCTGAAGCCATCAATGACCTTTTGGTTATACTGACTTAATTTCATAGAAATAAATTGTGAAGTTGTGTTTTAAAATTAATCATAGGCAAGTCTGACTTCATTTTTCTCTTCATTTCACAATTTTTAAATTTACAAGGATATTTCTTGATCTTGATCAAAAAGTGCTTAATTTATCCTTATGTATGCTCAAGCTGAGGATTTTAATTACTTAGCAAATAGTGAGAAGTTGAGTTTTCCTGGGTAGTGGATTTGAAATATAGGCAATCGCATCCAGTTCAAGCCATTATTTGCCTTTACTTCACTCATATAAGGTAGTATACCATGAATCTCTCTTAAGTTATGATAAAATAGCCTTACTTTTGTTCTATTTTTTGTTTTTGTTTAACATTATTTTGAGAAATTTGTTATGTTTTAAACTTGAGGTTAATTCATTTTCATTGATACGTATTATTCAAAAAATGATTTTTAAAATTGATTTAGAAAGATAAATGACAGCAGAATCCATTACAATTCTTATTACACATATACAGCAATATTTTTCATACCTCTGGTTGTATATAAAGTATGTTGACACCAATTCATGTCTTTGGATACATGTACTTTGGATAATGATGTCCATCACATTCCACCATCCTTGCTAATCCCCTGCCCCCTTCCTTTTTCTCTCACCCCTCTGCTCTATCTAGAATTCATCTATTCCTCCCACTCTCCCTCTTCTTACCCCATTTTGAGTCAGCCTCCTTATATCAGAGAAAACATTCAGCATTTTGTTTTGGGGGACTGCTAACTCCACTTGGCATTATCTTCTCCAAAGCCACCCATATACCTGCAAAAGCCATGATTTTATTCTTTTTTATTGCTGAGTAAAATTCCATTGTATATATACACGCCACATTTTTAAATCTATTCATCCACTAAAGGTACCCAAAAGACTTATATACAGCATAATACAGGGACACCACCACATCAATGTTTATAGCAGCACAATTCACAATACCTTTGTTCTATTATAAAATTAATAAAAGCTTACCATAAAAGTTTTTATGATAAAATTGGAAAAGTCTCTATTAGCCTTTTTTGGCATATATTTGTCAAATGTATGTACAGTATATGAGTTGGTTTAAAAGATCTTATCTTTTGTCTTTAATAATACCCAAACTGGAGTACACTATGTAAAATGAAATGAGCTAGGCACCAAATGACAAGTATGGACAAGATGTGATGCCTGTGTGGAATCCATAAAGTTGACCTCATAGAAATTAAGAGTAAAGTAATGGTTAATGGAGGCTGGGGAGGGAAGAGATGGGAAGAGGTACTAGGCTGTATTCAGACAGGAGAAATAAGTTCTGGTGTCCTATTGCACTATATAGTGACTATTGAAAATAATAATTTACTATTTATTTCAGGAAAGCTGGAAGAAAAGATTTTTGAGTGTTTTTACCTCAATGAAATTATAAATGGTTGAAGAAATATATATGCTTACTCTAATTCAAACATTACACAAGGCTCTCATATCAAAATATCACATAGTACCCCATCTGCAGGTATAATTTTATCTGGATTAAAAATATCCCATAATTACAAAGTAAAAACTAATAAATAATAAATGTTTTTATAAGCACTATATTGATATAGCTAGCATAGAACAAGGAGGGAATGGCAAGGATACATTCTGTTTACCTTTCTGTTCAAACATCAAGTCTTTCTTTGCTGACTATTCTTTTCTGCTGACCTCAGCAGAATCCTCAGAATCCTTCTGAACACAGGTTTCTGGGAAGACAGAATGACTCAAGTAGAGTTGGCATAATAAATTATATCTCTTTTTGATCTCCCGTGTCAAGACTAAGATGTGGCGATCAAATGATTCCAACTGTCAGAAGCAAATTAATAAGGAAGATAAATCATGAGAGGTTTTTACAAACCAGGCATCTGACAGTAAAGCCTGACATAGGTACTTGTCCCCTCAAGCAAAGGCTGACATATCACTAATGAGAGTTTTTTTATTTCCAGTTTGATGATCAGTTCACTTTGACTCAGTGTGTGGTGGTTGCTTGTAAATGAATAATTCCTCTGAGTCTAATTAGATTGGGTCTAGTCTATATGCTTCTTGTTGAGGTGGGACCTTCCAGAACTCAAGAACATTGTTGTGAATTGGATAATGCTTAAGATTGCAAAAACAGGAACAGGAATCCCAAGGATAAATGCCGATTTTTCTTTTCCTCCCCTCTTTTTTTGTGCTCAGAATCGGACGTTGCTGACTTTGATGGCCGAAGCTCACTTCTCTACAGGTTCAATCAGAAACTGATGAGCACACTCAAAGATGTGATCTCCCTCAAGTTCAAGAGCATGCAAGGAGATGGGGTCTTATTCCATGGAGAAGGTCAACGTGGAGACCACATCACCCTGGAACTCCAGAAGGGGAGGCTTGCCTTGTACCTTAACCTGGGTAGGATCAGGCTCTGTCCACTCCCTTTCTATTCCTGTCAAAAAAAAAAAAAAACAAAAAAAAAAAACAACTGTTCTTCATAACAAGTCAAAGTAGCACATAAACACTAGTGCTTTCAGTACATCACAGGGAAATCCCTGGAGTTACAAGTGCCCTATCACCTTTACCTGCCTGGGGGTAGAAAAGTACCATATTTTGAAATACTTAAATAGTAGATGGCTTTATTTGACAAATGGTGGTATTGCTATGCAGAGGGAACTACCGATTAACAATTATTTGTTATGTATCTCCTTGTCTATGTATCTCTTTTCTAGTTATTTCTTTAGCAAGTTTAAGCACATGTGTATTATAATGAGCATGCCCCCATCTCTTTTATGAAATAATGATCATTTATGATAGTTAGATTTTAGGGGAAAGTGGAGGAGAAATATTTAAGTTGTTTTGGGTTATTTCTTCAGGGGTGGGGGAGGGAGGGATGTGATATATGTAAAGTGGGGGGATAAGTCTGCACATTCCCTTGTCTTAAGGGAAACCTTGTTACTTTTTTAATGTGACTTGGTTGTGCCAGCGTGAATCAGAGTTGTCCAACGCCAGCTTGTTTAGTGCAAATTGCCCTCCTTCCTCCCAAGGGGTTAGGACCTGAACCTCCTAGGACCTTAGTTAGCTTTTACATGGCTTTCCACCTCACTCCGGGCACATCTGTATTTCATTGTAGTGGGCTCCCCTAACACAGGGAAGAAAAGAGCGGGGCTCAGACTGCTTCAAGTGATCGAGTGAAGAAGGGTAAGCAAAGTGCAGAAGACAGGGGACCAGAGCTCCCCAAGATGACAAGGCAAACAAAAAAGGTTCATCTGTAGGTAAAAACAAAATCCAAATATACAACATCAACAAAATCACACAAAAAAAGACAAGATAGGGGCTGAGGTTGTGACTAAGTGGTAGAGCACTCACCTAGCACATGCAAGGCCCTGGGTTCGATCTTCAGCACCACATAAAATTAAATAAAATAAAGGCATTGTGTCCAACTACAACCAATGTGTGTGTGTGTGTGTGTGTGTGTGTGTGTGTATATATATATATATATATATTTTTTTTTTTTTTAAGACAAGATAAAGAGAGAGAGCAAGTGGCCATTTAATATAAGAGTGCCACCACTTTGGCTCCAATTTGATATTTATTAACATTAAAGGGAGGGGAAGAGAATTGTCTTTTAGTATTTACTATCAAATAGCAACAAAGGAAAGACATAACTGATTGTAGTTTGTAAACTCATGTTGTATAGGAGACTAGAAATATAAAAACAGCAAAATATGTTTCAGCAATTAGCAGGACAGTTTTAAGAAGGAAGAGTGGTGTTCTCATCTATCATCTCCAAATCCAAACAAATGAGTATTTTGAGGCATTTCTGAGATCCCTCTTGAGCTCTGTGATGAGCAGGGTGGCAGGAAGAACCTACAGAATCCGTAGTTCAATTCAAAATTGGCATCTTTAGTCAGATGCTTAGAAACATGCAAAGTGTGGTGTTCTTTTCAAGAGATACTCTTTGATGACTTGTATTTCCATTATCAAAGTACCAGTACATTGTCTGACTTCAACAGAATAAGTTCTGCAGTGAAATTTACTAGGTAGTTCTCTTTGGCCTAATCTCTTAAGGTAGAACATTGAATTTTCCAGACTACTAAATGGGAAAGACATTTCTTCTTTCAATCCCTCAGGGGATTAGAGAGACTCCCCTTCCTAGTTTTTGCACATCTCATTCAGATCGCCCATGGCAATCTTCCCTTTACAGAATGACAACAACCAGTACCCACATAGGCAGGTGGAGAATCAAAGAGCACAAGAATTACGTGACTCAGAAACTGTTGTAAGAACAAAACAAGACATCAATAGTGCACTCAGGTCACTCATCCTTACAAGAATTCATTGCCTTTGAACTGAGGCAGAATGTTTGGGCGATCTCTAATACGAACAGCTGACATAGAATAAACATGTGCAGAGCTGAAGTCCTTTGGGGCCAAGTGCAACAGTTGAAGACCAAAGCCCTCAAGTGCATGGTCAGACCATTGAGATCTCAGTGAAAGCTTTTCATAGCCTCCGAAAAGTCAAATGAACATTTACTCCGCTCTTTCGAAATTCAGTCATTTTAATGAGTCAACTCACAAATATTTAAGGAAGATAATTTTTTTTTCAGATTGCCACTTTTAAGAGCCCATAATCTTGCACTGTATTAAACATTTTGTATGTCTATATATACATACGTACACATACACACCTATATATATATACACATTAACATTATATATGATATTATATATAAATATGTATACACATATATATGTTTTATTTAAGTTATAAAGCAGTCCTATACGTTATATCTAAACTCAGTTAGTGACCCCAGTCAGTTACTTAAGATCACACTGCTGCATAGCTATAGACCTGGGATTAGCACTCTCTCCAAATCTGTAAACCTCCATAAAAAATTATATATTAAATACCAGGCAGACTACATTTATGAGTCAGATTGTGAGAAGAGAGATCGGGATGGGACATGTGCATCTAGGATTAACCTTGCATTTTCTGAAGATTCAATTATGAAGAGGGGAAGGAGATTGGCATTGCAGACAAAGTGTCAGTGGGATGAGGTGTTCCACATTTCTGTCATTTATGTAATAAGAAGAGGTTAAGCAAGTACATTAAGTCAGGGCCTGAACTCAGTTAAAAGTTGGATTTGCCAGTTGCAGCCTAGTAAAATAACTTTTTCTACTTATGTTCTAACTTTGTAGTATTTATAAAATCTGTAGTAGCTATGAATCATCAAAACCATGTAACATAAACAGGTTAAGATAATACTTTCCTAAAGTAACAAAGTCACAGAGAATGAATATAAATTAGGATCCAGAGCTGAACAACTCCTAAATCTGGAAAGTATTTTTATTCACTGAAAAGACATGGATTTCATTGTTTTATTGGTACATAGAGATTTGCCTGACTTAAAGGTCAGGTTCACTGCAGTGGCTTATTTCCTGTTAGTTTCTTATTTTCTTCAGAGGTCTGACTTGGGTGCTTAAAAGACTATTCATAAATCTTGCATACCATCAAGCAAGGATATAGGGCTAGCTTTCTGGAACTGTGTAGCCTATGGAGATAAAATTTGCCTTTTCTCTCTATTTCATATCCCTCCTCTTCGGTATGGCACTCTTTTCATCTGCCATAACTATCTGCTTTACAGTTCATCCAAATATTTTCTGAGACCCTGCATTTCTACTAAGCAGCATAGCTTACAATGTTCCTACAGTGGGGAGCAGATAGTATGAATACAGAAAATAAGGGAGAAATACGAGCACTTTTTTTTTTCAGTAAAAGGGGTGGTGAGAATATTAGCTTTGAAATCAGATGAAGTGGGTTGAAACCCTAATCTTTGTGTCCTGGGGTAAGTCATGTGACTTTTTGGCTTTTGACAGAGTTGTGATCAGAAACAATTGAAACAATGTATGTGAATTTTACCTTCTGGGAGATGCTTAATAAGTACAAGTGATTATGAGGATTGATAAGCTGACAAGTTCAAGGTTGGGAGGTGGATTCTGAAAGTCTGGTGGAGGCAGGCATAGGGAGGTTCACATGAGTGGCCACCTGTTTTATCAAAGCGAATTAATCTCCTTCTAAGAATAACTTTGGCCAAAATATCATCTAAATAAATGTTATCATCTCCCTTTTCTCAGGCTTTCTGAATTTCATAAAGAAAGTTAATGTGGCATTCATATTTGAACAGTTAAGATAAATCTAGAAAAGATTTAATAAAACAATGAGTTTAGGTGAAAACAGTGCTATATGTTGACCTTAATTTAAAAAAAAAAACAATAAAAATGAAAAAATGAGTCCTAAAGGAAGTGAGGGGACTGACATGTCTATCCACAGCACTTTGGGGTAGGGGATCGAATAAAGAGATGAACTTAAAATTGCAAGCATTTCAAGTTTCATGTATAAATTTTGCTGCTTAGGGTCTTAGATGTTACATACATCAATTCATTTTAACTCTATTTCAGACCAAGTTTTTATTTAATTGGAATAATTTTTCCTGTGCTTCCAACCCACAAGTTAGCTTCTTCATGATCTCCTCTCTTTTATCCTTCACAATTGCCCATGAGAATTTTTAATATTGCTTTAATAAATTGGAAACTAGTTAAAACTAAGTAACACAACTTCAAGTGCCACTGAGATAAAACTTGAAATAGATATTCGAAGATAAACAGTGTAATCATTTCCTGAGAATTGAATTTTTGTTGTAATGTCTAATCATGAAGATTTCTAGATGATTCAAACCCTTCTAAATGATTTGCAGAAATTCTCTTTTCCCAATTGTTTAACCAAACCAACATTCACTTAACTTGTTTTAATGCAAAATATCTGCGTGGTAGTGTAAAATAACTAAAGAAGAGGGGGAGTTAAATTCAGTCCTGAGTTATCTTTTTTGGTTAATTTAAAAGCACATGTGATCTACTGGTGCAGTTCAGTGGTAGAACAACTACCTAGCATGCTTAAGGCCCTAGGTTTAATCCCCAGCACTAAGAAAAAAAAGTAAATTGCAATTCAGAGATATTCAATAATTTATACATCACTGATGTATTATTTTCAATGAAGCAGCTATGCAGGATGAGGATTGTGTTTTCAATGAGATTAATTTTTTCCATCATCAAAACTAGTTATGCTCCCTCTAAAATATAGAATAAAAGGGGAGGGAAAGAATGTGTTGTGGTAAATGTGTTCTTGAATTATATCTGCTCATAATACTTTTCCATGCCTTTTCCATAGCTGTGTTTAGGTTATATTTATTATGTTCTGTTCTGCTTTTATATATTTTAAATCAGCAACATATAAATTATTAAGTATTTTATTTATTAAATGTTACTGTTTATTTTATTAAAAAGGTTATTCAGTACTAAGTATATTTTAACATGATATAAATACTTTATAAATATCATTTGATGGCTCTATAATAGTCTATTTGGTGATTCTAACTTATACATAAGATATTTTTCCTCTTTCCAAATTATTGGACATTATCTCTAGTTTTTAAATCAAGAGCCATTTAAAATTTTCTTTACCACACTTTAATTGGTTTTCTTTAAATAAATTTCCAGAAAGGGGATGACTACATAAAATGTCATAAATATTTTTTTAATGTTCATCAATATCTATTAACATTGTTTTCAAAATATTCATGGAATTCAATTTTGCATTATCTTTAGGCAATAAAATATTGACTAAGTAAATTAACAAGATAAACAAGGAACAATCTTAACCTGTTTCCTTAGAAGTAAGGAAAGATCAACAAATTGCTTTGTGTATTTGTAAAAGTCTCAGGAGCTATGTTGTATGAAATGATGTTTGTTAATTAATGTTTAGGGGTTCATTAAATGCAGTAAGGAATAGTCACCATTTATTTAAAATTTGCACTTCTATTGTCCTAAAATGTTTAAAAAATATAAAGAGAAGAATTGTTAGGTGGAATGACAGTAATGCCACTTTCCTAGTCTGGGTTAGGGCATGGGAGAGGAAGGGATGATCTTAGACCTTGAGAAGAATGAGGGTGGGCTGTGGATGCTTGCTCCCTTTCCCAGATTCACAGGGTGTTGATGTGGTAATGGAAGCAAGGAGCCTACAGTGGTAACAACCAATTCAAAACTTACTACTTGAAGTTTCAGGACTTAGAGATCTCATCAACCTACCAAGCTACTCATCTAACTTAGTAGCTTTCTCCTTACATTTTGCACATTATGTTCATTTCCATAAATAATCACCTAGAGATTTTAAAGTAATAGATTTTAAACAATTAGGTAATCATCTAAGAGCACAAAATAAAGATAGAACTGTGCCTTATGCCATATATCAGAATAAATTTCAAATTAAATGAACTGGAAGAAAATTTGGGAGAATTCTACAGTGATCTTGGAATAGGGAAAATCTTTTAAACTATAATGTGATTCCAGAAGCCATAAAAGAAAAATGAAATGATGGAATTTTTAACACAAAAAATATATTGCTGGTGAATAAAGTAAACAACCAACCAAAAACAGAAGCAACATCAAGAATAGAATACAGAGACACAACAAAAATGCTGCCCAAATTGTTAGTACAGACAGTGGGCTAAATACAAATTGATAGAGAAATAAATAGACATGAGATAGGAGGAGACAGTTCACAGAAGAGAAAACACAAAAATGGAGGAGATTTTCAATTTCATCCATATTAGGAGAAATGCAGATTACAATTACTCAGAAATGCTTTTTATTTTTTAACTTTTTTTTTTAATCTATCAGGCATTTTTTTTTTCAGCTAGAGCCTAATTTGTTGGGAAGCCTGTGGTGAAGGATTCTCATCCTTATCATCAGGAGTTTAAATAGGTACAGCATTAACAGAGGACAACTTGACATCAAAAATCAAATTCTCAAACAGCTGCCCAAATAACCTTTCCTCAGCATTAAGATGGGCTAATAATCTCTGATTTCCTAGTTTGTTCATGTTCCCATTCCTTAGAGATACAATATAAATCATGCAACCTAGTACACAAAGTTCTGGATCATGGGTTCTGGCTCTTCCAACCACATCCCATGCTTTGCTTCTGAGATTGCTCTCCCATTTTCTTGTGGCTCTCTGAGCCTTGGCATTTGTTTCTCCTGGCTGGGTAACAAGCTCCTTCTTCTGCTCTTAATTCTGCCCATGGCTGCTCTGTAAGTAAGAAGTAAGGAGGCTTCTCCAGCTTTCCAGGCTGCATTTCCACAACTCCCTGCACTGACTATTGTTTGTATCCAGGACACTTTTAAGATATATTTCATTGGGTCATTTTAATTATACATAAGAGTGAGATTCATCACTCATCTTGATATACCCATGTGTGTACATATCAAAATTTGGTTAATTTCATTCTCCCCTACCTTCCTTTTCTCCTCACTCCTCCCTGTACCTGGTCTCCTTCTTCTACTCTACTGAAGTCCCTTCTAATATCATGAGATTCCCCTTCTCCATATTTTTGTTCTGTTTTATTCTCTATCTCCCATGTATGAGAAAAAAAATGACTCTTCACTTTCTGAATCTGGTTAAGAGAGTATTCTCTAGTTCTGTCCATTTTTCTGCATATGACACAAACATCATTCTTTTTTAGAAGTAAGTAAAATTTCATTGTGTATCTCTACCACATTTTTTTAATTCATTCATCTGTTGATGGACAAGAGAGCTGGTTCTATAACTTGACTATTATGGAATTGTGTTCTTATAAATATGGGTGTGCATGTATCACCAGAGAATGCTGATTTCAGGTTATTAGGATAAAAGTTGAGAATTGGCATAACTAGATCATATGATGTCTCATTCCTAATCTTTTGAGGAACCCCCATACTGCTTTTCACAGAGGTTGTAGTACGTATAGTCCCACCAACAGTGTGCAAGTGTTCTTTATTCTCCTCATTCTCACAAGTGTTTATTATTATTTGTATCCTTGATGATTGCCCAGGACACTTTCTACAGATGTATTTGTGGAAGGTCTCTACACTAAGACCTTCAGAAAGGGCTGTACATCTTTATAATTCTTATCTACTTTACATATCAGCTGTCACTATGACCAACACAGGTAGTTTATGTTGCCTGTGGAAGGGACAGAAAGAGAAATAAAAAGATAAATATCTGTTCATTTATTAGCATAATCTATCAAAGAGTGAAATTTCAAAAGTTGTGGAGCAAATAAGCAATCAATTAGCAGAATTATGTACTAAGTCGCCAGCTCTTATTTCCCAATTATTATAACTTTGGTGTCCCCATATGCACTCCTATATGAAGCAACACAGTGTTCTTAAGCAGTGACTTTGGGCCATACTGGAGGTGGGAGTAAACAGCCTACAGGGAGATGGCAGCTCCTGCCCCCTTAATGTCACACTGTTGAACAGGCTGCTGCTGCTGTGCTGAGAAAAAACATGTCACAAGAGAGGAGAGACACTTCATTTTCAGTTTCTCAGAAGACAGAACACATGAAATATTTTCCAAATTGAAAACTTACATATAAGTAAATGTCATTTGTATTTAGTTGTTCATTTTGCTAAGGCTGAGACCAAATCTGCCAAGGGCATGGGGTGAAGGATGCTGGGTATTTGTGATCTATTTGGTGGGAAGATATGTCCAAGGACTTCCCTAAAATTGGAGGAGGGAGAGGGAAAGGGAAGACAGTTTGACTTGACAGAGGAATTACTCTACATCTGAATCTCCCACATCATCCCACAAGCAGTATTGTGGTCCCATTGTAGGCTGAATCATCACCACATGAGACCTGTGCCATGATCACTACCTGTAATCAGAATGCAAAGGATCAAAGCCTCACTCTACCTCTGAGGCATGCAGGCTTACCTGGCTGAGCCTCAGATTCCTTATTTGTCAAATTTGGGTAATAAGATAGAGGGATTAGCCTCATACTTAAATATTGTACGTACAACTGAGCATTGGAGAGTGTCAGCTAGAATAATTAGCTCCTAACCTTTTCCTTTGCCCACAGACTCATCTAATAGGATCTGCCTACTGACCCCACTTCACCCTTTCCAAGTTTTCCCGTCCTCCCAAGCATGGTTCATGATCTGCTTTCTCCCCTACAAAGATTCTAAATTTCAAAGAATGGGTATTTTTTCTTAGAGTCAAAACCCTATTTTCAATTTCAATTTTGAGGCTCTTAAGATATAGAGTTCTTTTTACTATTTAATTGTTCTGGTCCTGGAAACATTCATGTCTGAAAGCTGGGAGTATAGGGTTTGAATTAGAATGCCGTCTCAGAATCTGTGGGCAAAATCTGTTACTCCTTCACAAGTTCTGCACAGTTGTTGGTGTGTCAAAAGACAGTCCCTCTTTACCTCTAGGAGAGAATGTGGGTCACGTTCACAGAAGGTTTTAGTCTTGGAAGCTGTCCTCGCACACGGATGGATGCCATCTTCTTTTCTTCCTTCCCCACAGATGACAGTAAAGTTCGACTCAGCAGCAGCCCACCCTCCGCCACCCTGGGCAGCCTCCTGGATGATCAGCACTGGCACTGGGTCCTCATCGAACGGGTGGGCAAGCAGGTGAACTTCACTGTGGACAAACACACACAGCACTTCCGGACCAAGGGTGAGGCAGATGCCCTGGACATTGACTATGAGGTGAGTTGACTCTTCCTTAACATCTCTAGGTCATTTTCTCAAGAGGCATAAGAAAACCAGTAAAGAGAGCCATTGAGAGACATGGTGCACTGAGGAATCTTGCCCTGGGACTTATCTCCCCTCCATCTATGCCAGACAATCTACAAGGAAAGGAGTCCAGGAATCTGAGCAGTCAGGTGATAATGGGGGTCACCAGTGAGGTACCAACTAACTAACTGTGTGTTTTAAACTCTGAAGATTTCCCTATTACTGGGTGTACATGTGCACACACATGTATGTGCTCGCACATGTGTAGCCTTTCTGTGTTTTTGTCAAATCCCTTGATTAAACATAGTCATTCTTCAATTAAACTTCAATTTAGCCAGGTCAATGAAAGACCTAGAAATTATAAATAAAATCTCCAGGAGTCTAGTATCTGGACTAAAATCATTAGCCTTTATGACCATTCCTATACAGATGTTTGACTAATGCATGAAAAGCTGTTTCTCCCTGCTCCCTTGTAGAAGAGCCACAGTGAAATATACTGGATGAACACTGCCAAGGAAGTTGCACAGAGTTCTAAAAATTGGCAACCAAGAATTAGCCATTTTACTAGTAGTTGAGTTCAAGAAATGTCTATTGTACCCTTCCTGGATTACCAGGCTTAATGGTGGGCTCAGAGATGACTGAGTCTAATTCCTTGCGTTGGAGAAGCTTATAGTCTATTAGCCAACATAAACCATTATAGAACAAGGAGGTGCTAAAGGGGTAGGAAGGCATGGACACTGAGAATACTGGGGTCAGTCTGGGAAATGGCAGAAGGCTCCCAGCAGGATACACTGCTAAGTCCTGGATGAGGTAAGTTATCCTGATAGAAATGGTCAGAAAGGTACACCAGGGCACAGAGCATGATATGCTACTAGTCTTGTCTAGGATTTGTGTTATTTAAAGCAGTAGGCCAATCTTGGTTTGTTGGGGTCAATTCAAATTATAAGGGACAAATATTAGATTTTCAGAAATTCTGTGAGTTGGTTGGTAAACACAGTCGTTATTAAAAGTTAAGTTGCATAAGCTGACAATTAAGTAAAATATTTTAAAAGGCAACAAATTATTACTTTCTTATTATTTTACCATATAATTATCTATCCATTATCTATCTAAATGAACTCTTCAAGCTTTTTGTAATCATTCTACCAGTGCAGTGAAAATACTCTGCACTGGGTTAATATAGCATGCCTTCCCAGTTTCACGTTTATTGATCTCCCTCTGATAGCTTGACATCCACAATAGTGGAAGAATCTATACTATGGATGCTATCAAACACAATGAATCAAAGTTTGATTGATTTTTTTTGTGGATTGTTTAGACCAGGGGTCAGAAAACTCTGGTTTGAAAACTATTTTCCTATGGCTCCTTTAGGATTAATTTTTACATTTTTAAAGATTTGTGCAAAGAATAAAGAATATATGACAGAAACCATAGGTGACTGCAAAAGAGTAAAAAAATCAATCGATTAAAAAAAATCAACTGATTAGATGAAACTTAATGACAAAACTTAGTGTATGGTTTATTATTTATAAATTGTGTATTGCACATTACTTATAAGAGAATGATCTATGTCTATAAACAACACATTTGTACACGTGTCTCTGTGTGTCAGTGACCCACCTTGGACCTCCACCTGTTAAACCTTTATCAATAGCCCACTTGAGGCAGGAAATAGTGAAAGATAAATTTTAATAATTAGGAAAGCATGGAGTGGTAGAGGGCCATTTGAACCTTGTTAATGATCTTACATTACTGAGAATGAAGAACGACTGAAGAATTTTTTCATGATGGTAACATGGCCAATTTCTCATTTTAGACTAGCATTTCTAAATGTTTGATTCAGGGCCAGTCCAACCAGAAACCACTGGAAACTCACTGAAAGTGAACATATTCATGATCCTCCCTTTCCCACTGAATCAGAAATTGTGGGATAGGACTCAGCAATAAGTCCTCCAGGGAATCCTGAAGTTCCTGATATCTCAGAACCACAGTCTCACAGCAGTCATTCTTAAGGTTATGTGTAGCTCGGGTTTGCAGGTGGGTGGAAGGAAGGAGTTTCTGAACAGAGAGTAGGAAATCCTGTTTGGAGACAATTTCAGTTACCAATTGAGTAAATAACACAACAGTGGAGATGGAGATTGGTGTTTGAAAAATTAGGAGGTGGCCTATTTTTTGTTTTCAATCACAATTATAAACTTAGAGAAAAATCTCTTCTTTTGATCCTAATGTTACTTTAGTACACTGCAGATAAGGCATGCCATTCATTATCTTCAAAAAAAAAAAAAGTTGTCATTTTTGACTCAGCATGCTAGATGCCAGAATGATACTTTGGAGTTGCTGAAAATTGGAAGTCTGTGAATATCCATCACTCTCCCTTTGTCTAATTGTTTAATTGATTGAAAACACAAAAAAGAACAAAGTGAACACACTATATTAAAATTACCTCAAAGCAGAGAGGTCTTTGATGAATTTGAAAACAATAATAAAAGAAAAACCTACAAAATTATCACTCAGTATTATCAAGTCCCTCAAATACTTTCCCTTTAATGTCCAAGGGGATGGTTCTAAAATTCACCATTGCTTGACTTAATTGACTTGCAAGAATCTGTTTACCTATGATCTCTTGTGTATAGAAGCTGTACACAATCACAGCTGAGTGACATTGAAATGAATGTCAGCATTCCGGGAAATGAAATCCAATGATGTCACTCAGTTTATGAAGTTGGATCTGATTTCTTTAGGGCATGCATTGATGTCTTGATGTCTTATAAAAAATGCTTCCTAGGAAAGAAACACCTTGAAAAGTTTCTCCCAAGAAACCTTTGCTTCAGGGGATGTAGTCCTTTCCAAATATGTGTAGCCAGGTTGCTCTAATGATCATAAAAGAAGACAGATTGTCTGTAATAGCATTGGGAGCTGCTGGCTGTGCTGGAAAACAAGAGTTATATGCCCAGAAAAGTCTCTAGCCTTGCAGATGCACTTGAAAGGGTATATGAAGAAGAGCGAGAACAGGGATGGGAGGGCCAAGTTCTATCCACCACTATCTCACCAAGTAGTTGTGTTAACCAGGGAAATGAAAACTCACAACTCTGATTACTGAGAAGCAAAATTGGCACTATTATTGGAAAGAATATAGTCAAACAAGATATTTAAATCTAAGATCTGCTTTATTTCAGAATTATATATTGATCAAGTTTGGTTTCTGCCATGAGCCTTCTGTGCACACATGAGGCCTGGGCTACCGCCAGCTAGAAAGATGACTGAGTTCACAACCTCAGGCTCCAGTGACCCAACATCAGAGCATCCTCCTGCTGTAGAGCTGTTCTCTATCAAATTTTATGTGAAGTCTAACTGTTTGATATAAACCTATTTTTCCTTCTCAGATTTTACCACATTGTGAATAGTAGTTGACAAAGAAAGTACAGTGGCTTCTTCTTAGACTGTCTTATGGAGGTCAATCAAGTGACATTATGACTTTGTATGAGGCAACTAGTCTGGCATTTGCCATGTAAGGCACGAGATTGTCTGCTTCTTGTCCAACCTAGAAGGTGAACACAGACAAGGCTCAGGGAGACCTCTGTCAAAAAGATAAGCAGGAAAAAAGATGTAGATCAAGTACTTTGTATTGGGATGTCTTCCTAGTTCACATCACGTAATCCATGTGACTTTTCTGAATACTGTGAGAGATACCAGAGCAGTTTGCATTTCTTCTAGCCTGAAGCAGAAAGGCTTTAGAAAAGACATTTTTAGGACCTTATTCCTCTGATACCCCTGTAATTGAAAAAGTCCTTTCCTATCAATAGTGCTAGATGGCCCCGTTTTAGATCACTATATGTACTCAAACTCTAAAAAACTTGTTTTTGAAAAAAGAAATGATTTACATGTTTCTACTCTATAAATAACAGACATTTCATAAACTACAAAATGTATTTTAGTAAAAATCTTAAGACATGTATACAAAACCCTAAAACCAGATTAAGATCCTTTCATGTTTAAAAATACATGTGTGGTATATCTTCAAAAATAAGATTGAAGTTTTTAAAAAATGAAATATAGTTTCATAATCTAAAAATGTTTAAGGTCCTTCTAAGTATGATGTAGATTTCAAGAACCTGGGAATAAAATATATAAAAAATTTTACCTATCTGAAAAAAATGTGCCTATATAAAATGAGAAATAAATAACTTGTACTTTTTGTAAAAACTATGTTTAATAATGCCACACTCCACCAAATAACTAGAAAAAGTACTTCAAAAATGTTATAATATTACTAATAAACAAAGCCTCCCTACATTTTTTTGAAATAGGTATCCCATTGGAAAAAAAACAGGGAAAGAACATGAATATAAAAAAAAAAACACAAATGACTTTCATATGCAAAAGGGTCTTCAAACTCTCTAATTGAAAAAAAAAATGAAAGAAAGAAATATCAATTCATGCTCCAAATTACAAAGTCCAACACTATATAATCTGCCACAATAGCATGATAAAAAGAAACCAAAATGATATTGTATATTGTTGTTGGCATAGTAATTAATGCAATATTTAAGAAAGGATAATATTCAAAATTAAGAAAAACATTTCTTTCACTACAACATTCTGTTTCTAACAATTTTCCTATAATTATAAAATAATGTGTGCAATGGATATATTCTAGGAATTAAAAAAGAAAAATGAAAAATTTTCCCCAAATCCTTCAAAAGTAATTGATGACATATTATGATCATCTCAGTGGAGGAGCAGCTCCACTTCAGTGCCTAGGTGATTTTGCATTGTCCACATAGGCCACACAGCCTGCAGTTCACAGCAGGGGGTCATCTAAGTCTTGGCAAGATATTCCTTGATCCAAGGAGACATGAAAGGCTGGGCAGGATCTGCCCAGAGACTCTCTTTCACTCACCTCCCTGACCCAGGGAAGCTGTTAAGGTACAGTTTCTAATAACCTCCCCATTCTAATAAGGTGTAAGGTTTTC